TACTTTTACATTGGGAATTCCTTGTATGGGTGCCGTGGGACGTTTGGGGCATTTCATGCTCCAGGCGGCATGCTCGTCCGAGTTGCACGAGACGCACGCACCTGGCTGGAAGGGGTGACGTACAGGCAGAGGTTGGGTGATTTCCCTGGCATTTGTTGCATGTTAAGGGTTTCTTGCACTCCTCCATGCGGTGATCAAAAGCGCCGCACTTGCCACACGGCACTGGAACTGGTGTTGGTGGTTTACTTTCCACTATTCGGAAAACGCGGCGAAGAAAATGCAAGGCTCTATCAGCAATTAATCGCTCGTAGGTCGCATGGTCTCCTGTAATTAGCCGCATCATGAGCGTTGGAGTTCCTTTTACGCGCGAGATTATCCTTCTGCAGAATCGAACCTGGAGTTGGAGATCTCGCAGGTGGTCCAGAAACATATCGTCTGTTATGTCCAGATCAACACCGGTGGCCACCACTGAGTACGATGGTGTGATGTTGCGGTTTGTGTTGGTTATAAGTGGTGGTGTTGTTGATTATATTATCCAGAAACAATATCAAACAGAGGCTTCATCAATAAATAATTCAGATCAGTTCCTATTTTAATCCCGCAACGTTAAAAACAATTATGCAATTTAAAATCACCCATCAAGCAGTAACTTATAGATCTTTGCTGAAAGGATTTCGTGCCTTCAAAATGTATGGACTTAATTACGGTTTTTGCTAATAAATTTTGTTCAAACATTTCCCGCTGTTTGTCATTTAATAAATTTGGTTCAAATTTTTTCCATGCTAACTAAGCGTCCTCATGACAATATGGTTCACGGTTATGTACATTCATTAGAAGTAAACAGTCGACGACATATTTATAATGTATTGTTTACATATAATATTATTTCATGATTCCATGGCTAATTACGTGCTTGCGCTCTGACACACGGCATACCCATTACTTTGATGATCACCTGATTAAGTCACATTTTAAGGCGCTGAAACACTCGGTTCAACGAAATTCACGCAAAATGGTGCGAGCTTGGCTACTTTCCGAAGAAAAGGGTTTGACATCCAAATATATTACATTGGAAGAATTGTATAAGACTAGCGGGGTGGAGTACTACCAGGTAATAACGATTTTATTACTTTTAATTAATCACGTTTCTCATTTAGTAATTTAAAAATTATACACATATTAGTAATTTAAAAATCAAAACATTTACAAAAGAACATTATTTGAATATTTTTTTTACAATTTATTCGGTACATGTGTATGTAACGAGAACAAAAAATCAAATTAATGATATTAAGCAAAAGTTAACAATTTTCGCATAAGGTGCGATATTATATACATTTTATGTTCTGTTATCTATTTTTGGCTGTCAATAATGTATTATTTACAACACAATTGTGCAGCTTAATTACTTCATATTTTAGCAATGTACATATTTGCAGGGTAGGCTTTTTATAATTTTCCAGTGTATTATTTGTACAATGATGAATAATTAAATTAATAGAAATACTTATTGCTATAGAAATTTTTCAATTAAATTATTTTGTAGTCGTTTAATACAATTTTTTTAAACGAATATGCTTTCGTCTACCTCAAAATTATGACCGGTTGCCGGCACTTTGCTTAATCTTTGCCTCTATACAGGGTGATTCACAACTTTATGGACACATAGCAGGGGCGTGTGGAGGACCTCAAAACAAGTCGAGTTTCTCTTGCAGGTTTTTCTTGTCTGCCTTTGTTTTCAAGTTATTTATTTTATCATAATAGGCTGTGCAACTTTTTGCTGGAGATTTGGTTGTTAAAGACTTTTTTTCGAAAATCCTAGTTGCCTTTAAAAAATGCCAGGAAAATTTTCATTCAATGAGCAAGTTGATATGCTATTAGTAGTGAGGTTTTGTGAGAATAACTACCGAAGAAATGTGGTGGAGTACCGAAGAAGATTTCCGAATCGACAAGAATTAATTTTTGTAATTTTATTTTAAATCAGAACGTTTGTTTCCACCGAAGTATTTTTTCCACTGATGAGGCCTGCTTTACGCGGCGGGAAATACCAATACCAAAGAGAATTTTAAATTATTGTGTGGGACGGAATCGTTGGGCCAGTTATTTGCTTTTCCTACAAAACACTATTCCAGAACTTCTTGAAGATTTACCTTTACAATTGCGACTTGACATGTGGTACATGCACGATTGTGCGCCTCCACATTTCTCTATGAACGTTCGTGAATTTTTGAACCTACAGTTTCGAAATCGAACAAAGCTTAAAGGGTCGCGCAATAATTGCCCGCAACGCTGGACACCGCGATCGCCTGATTTGAAAAAGTGCGATTTTTATCTGTGTGGAGAATTTTCAAGAGAATTTCAACGCCTGTTGCAATTACAGAAGACTTATGGAATCGTATTAGTAATAAATGTACCATTATAAAAAATACATTCAATTATTGGATATATTTATCCAATAATTGAATTGAAGTTGACTTTAATTTTCAGCGAACGGTCCATTTACGATTAAGAGAAAACGGAGGCCATTTTGAACAGCACCTTTAATTTATTAAATTAAAATTAAATAACTTAGACTTATTTAATTTTATTAAATTAATTTCATAGTAAATTGAAATATTCGTTTCATTTTTGTGAATTTTTATTTGGATTAGCTTACATCCGATAAACCGTCGGTAAACGATAAAAGTCGCCAGCAATCCATCCCTCGCCAGCAATCCATCCCTATTTTAACATCAACTTGCATTTCAAGCTTTAAAAAAAATTAGAAGAAAATTCATAGAAAATGACTCAGAAAATCTACACGGACTTATGTTAGTGCAAATAACTCGAAAACGAAGGCAGATACGAAAAAACTGCCAGAGATAAAAAATTCTTAATTTTAACAACAAATAAAAAAAAATGTTTAGTGGAAGACGCACAACAGAAAAGTTCGGGGGGTAAAAGGGGGGTTCGCCTCCAGAAAAAAGCACGCTGTAGATTTTCGCAACCTTACGGCTTACCTACGGGTAAAGGGTCTAAACAGTAGCCTACGGTCAAAATTTGACCGAAATATCTCATAAACTGTAGGACATTTTGATCATCATCAACAGTAACATTGTCAAAACTAAAACAGGCAGAGAGTCCAACAAATTATAGAAAATATAGATGAAGGAGTCTACTGTCTCAGACAACTAGAGTTTGCAACTGTAGTTGTTCACAATCGCTTAATACTAATTTGAATCAACTTCTACAGACTATTTCTAATTATGGATTTAAAATAACGCCTGATTTTACAAGCAAAGTGATTACTAGAACGGAAACCAGGCTTACCCTGGATAGATTAATTTAATTCATTCAAGCAATGAGTATGAAAGCATTGAAGCAACCACGAGCGATGAAGTCTCTATAAAATGGTACAGACCCTATCAATCTCGTTAATCTCAACATTAAATGAATACAAAATTACTCACTTTCCTATTAAACGTTCTTGCCATATAATAGATGAGCCGTTCCCTGCAAATAACAAAAGTTTATTTTCTATGATATCCAGTTTGGCCTCAAAGAAACGACAATTACAAATTAGGATCAAAACATAATAACAAATTCAACCATAAAATGATGAAATTCTATTTGCAGATCGACCCGAATAATTATGAACAAGATCCTCTACTGAAAAATCTGATTGAAGAACGGGACAACCATCAAACTAATGTAGTGGAAAAATTGGAAGACGACGAGCTACTCGAAAATATTACGGAACATTTTCATGAGCACGACGAATTTCGTCTTGTGCTGGAAGGATGCGGATTCTTCGACATTCGAGACAAATATGATGAATGGCTGAGAATTGAATTGATTCCCGGCGATCTGATTGTAATTCCTGGCGGATGTTACCACAGATTTGTGGTGGAAGATAAGGTAGAGTCAATATTGCACATGAATAAACTGGGGCATAAAACTGAAATAAAAAATATTAATTTTTAGAACACTTACAAAGGAGTGCGGTTCTTAAAGGACTACGGGTATCGAGCCTTCAAGAGACCTAATGATGAATTGGATTGCCGAAAAGATTACATGAGACGACTTTATAATGGCGCATATGATGACCAGGCCAAATCACAGCAGTAAAAGTGAACAATATTATATCGACTGTTTATATTAGCTATGTTTTATGAAGTATTATCAAAATACTCTGTAGTTTATTGGGAAAAAAAATATTAAAATATTGTTATGTAACCTACAACTGATAGAGCTGGGATTTTGAAGTCATCTTTAAATTTATAATAAATAATTTACATATCTAAATTTTTTATTACAATTACAAAAACGAATTAAGATGTTTAAAAATTAGGTGTCATATATACTGAATCATGAATATCATGAATCTGAAAAATCAAGGAAATCTAGCAAATTCGAATGTTGGCCGCTTAGAAACATGAACGGCAGCGAGATGTTTAAAGAAGTTTTTTTGCTACACGTTAAAATTTACCAATAAAGAGATGCGAAAATAAGTATAATAGATACAAAAATGAGCATTGTGAATTTGTGACTAAAAGTATTACTTTTTGGGTTATTCTTTTCAAAATAGTTTTTTCTGGAACAAATATTAAGTAAATACTTTGCTACTTTGCCTTGAAAATGTCTGCAAATGTAAATTTATTTACAATACAAAACGCAGGCAACGTTCTGGCAAGAACTGGTTTGGGATAGGGCTCCGAATCAAACTCGAATAATTTGAGTATTCGAATATTCAAAAAGCGAATAATTATGTGTAGTCATAACTCGAATATTCGAATATCCGAATATTCGATCCGATTTGGGATTACATAAACGTATAAAAGTTTTCTTTTATCTGCATCTAGTAACCAGCAATTAAAGTTAGGTACATATGTAAAAAAATAATTTAAATTAAAAATATGGAAAAAAACTGGTATTGATGCCACTTTGAATTTTATTTTAAGAAGTGCAGCAAGCACATTGAGTTGGTTAGAAAGTGGCAAATGTGAAAAGCAAATTTGCTTTTTTTCACAGATATATTCAATTATATGGTCACCACAGTGGCGTGCGGTGAAATTTTAAAGAAGGGAAGCAATTTTTAAATACACTTTACCTACCACCACTATCTACAGTAGTACAACACACACCATTCAGTCTAAGTAAGTTACATTTTACGCATTGTAATCAATCAATCGAACATTATTGTCACGATTAATTTCTGTCTAGCAGACATATTATTATTCGTTCAATAATATTGTCAAATTAGTAAATTGAACCTCAACTGTTACTAATTAAATATCTCTTTATAAAATGTTAAGCAAACTTGCAACTTGCAAGCAAACACCCCCAAATATTGTAAAAATTGCAGAAAGTTACTATGAAGTACTTGTTACTAACAAAACATCGTCAAAAATGGGAAGTTGCTCATTTGACGTTTTTTTGGAGAATGTATTGCTTCCTAAAATTATCAGTAAGATGAAAGACCTTCTTACAACTACAACTTAAACTAAATTACTAGAACCCTACTGAAAAGAAAGTCTGATGGTATTAAAAGCAAGAAGTCCATGATTTAGTCTGTAAACAACATTACTATTAACTAAATAACTAAATAAAATAGGACGTAGTATCATTTCTGCTAAGATCATCATAACTTAAATATAAATACACAGAAAAGAATGGTTCAGTCCATAAGATGAACATGTTATTAGTGGTAATTGAAGTTGTATTATTTAGAGTTATTTTTTAAACTGAATTTTCAAGATAACCAACAACCTTGGCGCAGTCAGTAGCATGTCCTTTGGAGTGTAGTTTTGGTGTCTCGAAATCCAAAAAATTCTGGGTGTAGCGAACAATTGCCAATTCAACAGCCAGAGAAGTATTCAGGAACCTCGACCAAAGAGCAAAACTGTCAAAAACTATCCCTAACAATTGCTTCAAAGAACTGATCAAAATATGCTTTTATGCAACGAATCGGACATCAAGACTCACTCAACAGAACTACGTAAACAACTGCAGCAAACTTCAGCATTTTAATCAACGAATTATACTCAGTTCACTAGAGGAATGTTCCATAAAATAAATTGAATGAAAAGCATTAAATAATTCTCAATAAATCACTATGTCCTTGATTTAATACAAAAATAAATAATTAAACAAGTGTAAACATGGTCCTAATTTTCATGCCAATATAGGGCGTTATTTTTTATCTTGTGGAACCGCAAATTGCAAACATATTTTTAGCAAGAATTCTAGGATATCGTTAAGGTAACTAAAAGTATTTTAGAAATAATGTTTTTAAAAAGTAATTTTCGGCTCTTATAAAAATGCGCCCATTTTTTGAAAGGTTTGGAAGCAAAAATATTAAACATATACTTATGTATATGATTGAAAACTTCAATTACAATGTTTGTTGTAAATTAATATTTATCTATAATATTTACTTTTCTAATTGTTTTTAAAATATGGTTATATTCCAGTTTTCAATGGTATATAATATATATAACATATTATATAATTAACCGAAGTGTTTTTTTATTAAAAAAGTCGGTTTTTATTAGAGAATATAAATAACTAGTTGACACTCAGAAATTTTATATCATTTCACAACGCCGTCAAAACATATGATCATTTACAGCTGACTGCTGACTGTTTTGTTTTGATTAAGAAAAGTTAAACTTGAGCAAGTCTGACTTGCTTGTATTTGCTTTATTTCGATAATTCAATCAGTAAATTTTTATCTCCCCTTTCTACGGTTTTAATTTTAGATAAGCCTATAATTATTTTAAGTATTCTCGGCTATTATTTAGCTTAATTTCGTTCCGCAGTGTTTCAAAATGGTCCTAGCTTGGTACATGGATAACGAAGACTATGATAAGAGAGAAGAACATCATAGATACCCGCCAGAATATGTTTCTCTGGCAGATTTATTTGCTTCAACTGGTGTTGAATATTTCCAGGTATGTGAAACACCACAATGGGCTTACATTTACTTGAGCTCACTGGGGTGTGATAACCGTAATAATTCCAACCATTTTGATCAGTTTGCTGGTGCGTGATAATTTCCCTGTAAATTTTTCAGCTTGGAACGCAGTACTGTATTATTTTCACCGCCGTCATCATATAATAATTATTTGTGCGGCTGAGTATCTTTGCAAGAAATTTTTGAAGAACATTTTAAGAATTTATTTTATTTTACTTAAAATCTCATTTCTATACATCTAGGTACACTTTTGTTTTCAATTTCATCAGACAAAATATGCATGTTTTATATGACACTTTATATATATTTATAAAAACATGTCAGGTTGCCAAATTTACCCGCTAACTTTCTTTCATTCTGCATGCAACTAATCCGTAAAAAATGCAGTTTTAAAAATCAGGGAGTTTTTTTTAGTAATTCAGATCCCAATTTAAAATTAATTCTGTTGACCCTGGTTGGAAACACAAACCATTTCGAATGAAGGCGTGGTTTTAATAACAAAACTTGGCAAAAAAAATCAGTACATCAGCTTGGGATTGAGACGCGTGTACCAGTATTAAGATTTTTTTGCTATATTTTGTCACTAGACATTAGATAGATAGATTTCTGATATGATCAGAATGACTTAAGTATAAAAGAAGCCACAGCAGAAACGAACATTTAGTCAATAAGATTCTACGTTACGTTCTTAGTCAATAAGAGATTAAGTCTATAAGGTCGACATTAAAACTAGCTCGGTTCTAAAAATTATTGTAATAATTTGGGAAATCAATTGATTAAAAACGGACTTTTCCAATTAATCTTGTTTAAATTGTTCGCAGTCGGCGTCAATATCAAATTATGTTTTTCATTTGTAAACATTCCGACCTATTTTCGTCAAGTAGGACCTACCTATAAAAATTAAAGTAATAAAGCTGACACTTCTTTCAATAATTCAAAAAGTCGCAACTAGACGCATGTGTTTATAATCAATTTTTCAAAATGTTTGTTTTAAGAGAGTAACTGATTACTTAAATGTCAATAGATTTGATTGATATTGTATTTTTTCCAGAAGCCTTCTGTGAAATTTAACGTTTTTTTGAAAACTTTTTAAAATAATTTTAGTTGAACCTGGAAACTCTAGAAGAAGATGGAATCTTAGATAAGATAAAAAAGCAAAGAGGATACACTTATGAAGATCAAGTTACGATGGCACCTCCTCCTGATAATATGTCGCAATTTGAAGAAAAGCTGAACATTTTTTACACTGAGCATCTGCATACAGATGAAGAAATTCGGCTGTGTATAGATGGATCTGGTTATTTTGACGTGCGGGATCCAAATGATCAATGGATCAGAGTTAGGGTTACTCCTGGAGATTTACTTATTGTACCAGCAGGAATTTACCACCGATTCACTTTGGATACCAAGGTATGCCTGTATATACAGGGTAATTTTGTAATAAAATTGCGCAGTCAGAAATAATAGAACGTCTTCTATTCATATGGGACTGCAAGTAAATTATATTACAGACCTGCGCGTCTTTATTATTGGTCTCTCATATTTACAAAAATGAAGATTCTCACCCACTCTTTTGTGTGGTGTTATATAGGAAAAAAAAATTCAAAGTTAAGAAAACACACTCTTCAGTTATGGAACTAAATTTGAAACTTTATAGTGCTTTAAATAGTAACGCAGCTTAAATCAAAAACCTCTTCAGGCAGCTCGAAGCTTGACGTTAACTATACATATATTCTGCCTTTTATGTAATCTTTACTTGTATATCCAAACTGAATAAATTATGGAGCAATACTTTTTCCAGAACTTTATTGTTGCCAAACGATTCTTTGTTGGAGAGCCGGTTTGGACTCCCCATAACCGACCCGCAGACGATATGGATGCTCGAAAAAAATATGTTGAAAAACTAACCGAGGGTAAATTCGTCCAAATTCGCTGATACTTACTATTTTATAGATTTAATTTTTCAATTATGTCTATTGTAATGTTAACAGCGTTTTCCTTCAAACTTTACTTATTAATATACATGGTAAATATTACAAGCAGTTAGCAACGATTCGTGCTAACGCTGTGATTCTGGTGTTAAAAAATGCTGCCGTGCGAAATGTGACCTTAAACGTAAATGCATGTGCCCGTTTTGAGAAGATGTAAATGTTTTTTGACTATTGCAATATAATTTATAATACCCAGCAGCAGTGGCAGCTTTTGTCAATTTATGGTCAACGCTATGAGTATATTCGATTATTGAATACGTTTTCAACTATACATATTTTTCATTTGGTCTAATCTATAATACTGATAAGAGAAACACTTTGTTCATCAAACCTTGCGAAAGTTGACTTTCCATTACTTAATAAAACGCTTTATGTAAAGCTAATATGAAAACAGCGGATGTCGGGTTAAATCTCAAAATATATTGAACAAAAGTTAAAGGTTTTTAAATTTTAGACATCAGGTGACAAAAATATATCAGATATATTGATCGGGCAGTCAACCAGTGAAAGCGCTGTCGGCTTATCAAAAAACAAACCCATAGAAAATAATTTATTTAAAAAAGTCGCATATGTAAAAAATACCGTTCCGGAGTGTAAAATAATACTACAAACCCATTGAATAATTCTCTTGTCGATAATATGGAAACAGTTGGTAGAAATAAATGATGGTGAGATATTTAAAGGTCTATACCTCTGTCTACTATAGTAGGTAGCCGTAAACATTTTCTTTAATTAGGCATAGTTAATACTAAAAAATATAAATAACTAACATTAATTGAGTTTAGATATTGTTATTATGCTTCTATAAAGTTTTGTTATGTTTTCGTTGCTTTTGAATTTATAAATTATCCTACTTAGAAATTAGCCAAAAGTTGTTCCAGCTGAATCAAAAAATGTTTGATTTTGTATGTTTAATTTAGAGCAAAATAAAATAAATAATAAGCGAGTGTGTCTTAGCTTCCTCCATTGTTACTTAGAAAAATAGCGGACAGATGAGACAACTAACAAACTGAGAAGGAGTTAGTATAAAATACAGAATCAAAAGTTTGTTACAACTGAAAAAAAAACTGAATGTTAAAATATGTAATAATCAAGAAGATCTTAATTTCAAAACGAAAAGTATCCACGGATCATATTTGGATTCTTGAATCCACTTTAAATTAACTGAATAAATTAACTAGCAAGAAACCCGCTTTATCATACAAGTAGCATTATGAATTATTTTAAAGTCGAGTGAATATCGACAAATATTGTAAATAAGTAAAACTGGTGTTAAACATATCACTATATCAAGTGTTTTGTTAATAAAATGGAAGCTGTTGATTTCACATACTTTTGTTTGAAACTGAACAGGCTTTTGTGAGAAAAATGTGTTTTAAAAAGTGGTTTCAATTTAGAAAACATCAGTTTTTCTGAAATTTTATTGGGCAAATTTAATATGTTTAATAAATACTCCACTAAATATAAATTACTCCATTTTTATCAGACTATGAAGGCTTTCACGGCCGGTCAGATTACATTTAGAAATGTTTTCCGGGCTTTGAAGCCGTGGTCTATCGGAATTTCTTCCTGACGTTT